CAGCGCTTTAGCAGACGTTTTCTATCAATAATCTTCACACGCTTATGATTGGATAGTTGGTTCAGATCTTTAGGGGTTATTGTCTCCAACTCAGACAGTTCCTTCTCTAGTTCTGCGGGTGACATACTACGGTACTGCGGCGGCAGGTAGCGTTCCTCGTCAAGCCAGAAACGTACCCCCACAATGCGAGTCGAGTCGTCGGGGTCACAATCAAATTCCAACAAGGAGCGTTTTTCATCCACACCATTCAGCCCTACAGTCGTCTTACTCTCTTCCCCCGCTATTGCCAGGACGGCTGCTAAAGGCTGCGTCAACCATCCCTCCACGACATCCTGCAGCTCCGGGAGTCGCATAAACGTTGTTGTACTCAACGCACGGCACATGCGGTAAAAATTGTACTCCTCAATCCCATTTTCTAAACAGTGCGACGAAGTCGTGGCATCCATTGGGAGAGGCGCAGTAGGGACTAGGAAGCGAACAAAAGTGGAACTCCTTCTAAAAGTGGTTCCAGAGGAAACTTCACCATGTGAAGCTCTCTTCTCCCCCACGTCGTTTCCCAGTGAATCGCTACAGGCTTCACTGCGTAACATGGTCACTGCCTGATTTAGTTTCTCCCTATTATCAAGATGCACCCACCGAAACGCCTGAAGGACCTCTTTTCCTTCCATCACCCCTGACATTTCGGGGTCAACAACAGTCCTTTTCTCAACTCCAGTCACTGTCACCGCTGCTTCTGCTGATGGAAACTTGCTTAATTTATATTCTGCTGTGAGTAGCCACAATTCCGCGCTCTTCACGGGGTGCACATACCCATGAAAAAAGTGCTTCATCATTTGAATATTCTCATCCTTTTCTTTATGAGAGGCATTAAAATCAACCGTCCCCGACGGGCGTGCCGCGTAATTGAACCTCATAAAACTCTCGAGAGTGAGAAAGCGGCCCGGGACAATTGGAATTGACAATGACACTTTCTTCTTGCCCTGAGTCTCTTCCACCTTGCCCTCCTCTGTGCTCTTAGTACCATTGTTGCCGGCGGGTGTCACGCACTGGGCATGGAGAAGCCCGTTCGTTCCACGGAAAATACGGTAGCGTGCAGGAAAATTTTCCAGGTGGCTCTTGAGCCCATTTTCTAATTTCTCAAGCACCTCATCCGGAAGCAGTTTGGCCAGTTGCGTCAGCGGCATCGTACTGTTTGGCAGCAAAAAGGGTAAAACAGGATCATCGTCCTCAGTGACATCGGAGGGCAGAGGACTACCACAGGGTGGCGACGGCCTCGAAGGCAGAGAGCTCGCATAACGAAGCATAACATGCCATGGCGTTGACCACGCAGAACAAAATGTGATGGGCCTTGCGCACACGGGAAAAAAACCGTGGGAATAGGAAGGAATTAAGGGGACAAAGCGCCTCCAAAGCAGCGGGGAAAAGACACGATGAGAACTCACTTCTCCCGGCGACATATCAGATCCTCCCGCTTTCTATGAAACACCCGCACAAAAGACCCCGTCTTCGTCACACCTCTACCCTCCAAGAGGCAGCGCGACAGCAAATACACAGGACTGTTGAACCGGTTGCCAGTGAGAAAGAAGCCACAAAGCCAAGTGACAAATGCGCCACGTGTGATTTCATTTGAAACAAGTCAAACCAAACAATAAAAAGAAAAAGAAAAAGTCGAAGCGTAAAAGACTGTTGAAAGACACAAATTGAAAAAACAATAAAAGAAAAAATGAGTGACAGCAAACGACTTTCCCCGTGTGTCTCCCTGACTATAGACATGCCGACGTGTTTCCTGTCGATCAATGATGCTTCCTCGGCAAAGGAATGACAAAGAGGTAAAATACCCACACAGCACAAACATAAACGCAAACAAAAAAGAAATAAGTTACACAAATTTATTGACTAATTCATCGGTTCTCTGTTTCGCACAATAACCCCACGGGTGTTTACTCCCCCAATGTCCACAACAGAGGGATTCGGGTAATGTGGCCTTTTTCCATTCACCCAAATCCCCAGGCGACGTCTGTTGTTTTTTTCTCTCTCCTTCGGTCTGTTTACCCCGTCACACACACAAAAGAACTTGCTCCATCGTTCTCCTTACCACAATGCACCTCACAACACACATCCCACGCGTGAATAATCCTCAGCGTCAAAATTTGCGTCGCTCTGGAACCCATTGTTTCACACACACCGCATTGGGGCAATGCCTAGAAGGGGGAAAAAAGGAAAAACAAACGGACAAAACGCGTGTAAAGAACGCTGGACGTCCGCGCCCTGAACAGTGGAGCGTAACCAACCGACACTGTCATGCACCACATCGCATTCCGCCGCTCCGTATCTTCCCGTCGGGGCATAACCCGTTTCATCACAAAAAAATTTGGCAGTTGCCACACGACAACGGTCGTGGTCGCAGCCCGTCTCTGTCAGACAGCTCAAAGCTGCATACCCGCACGAGAAACACACGTTTGACACTCGTCAAAGGCAACCCACATTTTTTCGTCCAATGGTCAACGGAAGCCAATTTACTTCCCTTCAAAGAACTCATTCACATCTTTAGTTTGCGACTTCGCCGGCATTCGATTGTAGTTTATTCCACCCGCCGTAACTCCTGCGTGACGGAGGAGCGACAATACGCAGAACTCTTTAGCGAATAAAATGACGTGTAAAAAGGTGATCGTTTTACAAATAACGCGCGCCTCCGCGCGTCGTCTCGCAAATGAAAAAATTCCCCATATTTAGTTCTGAAGTCAGCAGCGTGAATTAAACACCGAAAATGTCATCTCGTCAAATGGCATGATAATTCAAATGCATAGTGCAATCAAACCGTTCCTACCATTCACCCCTCCCACCCTTCTCAAGCTGTCTCGGAAACACTAATGAAAGTGTATCAATTCCCATAGACTCAAAGAACTGCTTGCCCCTCTTCTTCTTCCATTCGCTTCACTCCCTCCCCCACGATAGTGAAGAAAAAATAGGACGTCATCGCAACAGGTGTGAGCTCGAGCAAAAAAATCTCAGGTGAAAACAGGCCTAAAGAGGCCCCTGACAAAACGTCGTGAAGACGCGATAAGGCGGATTGAACCCTGTCACCGTGGTCCTCAGCGGAAGAAACGTGCAGTCTGCACCGCCCGCCCCGCAGTGCGCATGCCTCAATCTGCATCAATTTTCACTTCTCGCGTTACGCTCCCGTGCAAAGGGTGTGGTGTCACTGCCAGAGGCGATGCGGCTGATTTTTTTTACCCGTCGCACTAAATGACTTTGTGGCAATCAAAATCACCGCCACGCAGAAATACATGAGCCGTCCATCCAACCGCTCATCGTCAAGGCAGCGCGGTCAGCAACGGGGAAACTCAAAAGACGCCCCACCAAAGTATGGATTCCGCCTAAGGCCACACTGTTGTTGTTCTTGTCACGTCACTGTCACAGGAATGTCTTGAAGACAGCCCCACACGGCGAGCACCAGCCGTGCCGAGAAGAACGACCTCTACCGGAAGGCACGTGTCGCCATCGCACAACATCGTCTCCATCGCCCGCCAACTCTTCATCTTGGCGGAGACGACGGGATCACCCGTTCTTAACCTCTTCGTGCCATGTCTGTGATGCCAGCGTTGCCGACTTACTTCGCCCTCAACAGGACAAGAGGAAGCAGAACAGCCAGGAATGCGAATGGGAGAATTCTTAAGAAACGGTACAAGACATGAGACCTTTTCGGCGGCCGCGAGAAAAAAGCAGATATTGCCACCGCTCCCTGCACCGCTATGCT